AAATAAAAATAGTTTTCCAACAACGGGGTTCGAACCTTCCCCATTTGGTAGCAAAAACCTAGCAAGTTTGCACTAAACCAAGGATAACATAGATTAGATAAAAAATGCCAAATCTTTTTTTAATCTTTTTTTAATCATAACTTTTGTTTATGGAAACCTTTTCTAATAAGTTTTATACAATTCGAAAGCTCTTAATGTGCTGATTATTTTTTCTGAGGGGTTTGATCTGATCAGACCTCTAAACAAAAAGTTATGGCCAAATAAATGAGGATGATCGTGATTTTACATAGTTATCCGGCCATATCTTTTTATTGAATGAGTTGATCAGAAAGGTCACTTTAGAAGAAATGATCAGCAGATATAGAGCTTTCGAAAGATATAAGATTCACTTGGAATGGTTGAAAAATAAGAGAGTTATGGCCCCAGGATTTCACGGGACTGGAAACCGAAAGGCCCTCTATTAAAATAAACTTTAATTAATTTTTCTTTTTTTTTAAAGTTGCAATAGGAATGCGTCGTGCAAATAATAAATTACTAGATTACTGTAAAAATAGAGTATGTGCTCTCTTAAAAGAAGCAAGAAAAAGGATGCCAAATGAACAATTAGCCAATAAATTAATTCCTTTAGTCGATGAATTTGATCAACTTTATAATATTCCAAAAATGGTAGCTGGAAAGAAATTGAAAATTTTTGAAGATAAAACACAAATACAAAATACGTGTGTTACAGTAAGTTTATTTAATTAAACACAAATTACATAATTCTGAAATAATTAATAAAATAGGGAAAGGGCAAAAGTCATTTCGGCGCGAAAATGTTATGGCGCGTCTTTATACAACTTCTGATGAGGATTACCTAGACTCATGAATTTTTGCTGATATATTCCACATATAGTTAGCTACATTCTCTAAAAATTTCAGAATTTTTTATTTTATATTTTAAAAGTTATGGTAAAAAGATACGAATAATAGGGATTTTCAAGGGGTTTTCGAACTTTTCCCTCCATAACTTTTGAAATACTTAATGAAAAATTATGAAATTTTTAGAGATGTTAATTAAGTTTATCTAATATATCTCTGCAAAATTTCAAAGTTCTACGTTCTTGCTAAACGATTTTATAAGGCCGCAAACACTCTACGCCGAAAGGTTAAAGTCCTTCATAAAAATAACTTCCTTCCCCTTTTACTCATGTCAACCTAACTTTGAAAATTTTTTTTCTAATTTATTAAAATAAAAGAATATAAAATGTGATAGATAATTAATTAGTATACACAATTGTTGCGCGAAAAAATTTAAAAAAAATAAAAATTCTTTAGGGCGTTCTTTGTAGTTAATGATTCATGCAAAATGGAAACCGGCGATAAAAATAAGTTTAATCACCCAAATAATTTAATTAATTTTATGGTTTATATTTTTAAGAGCAAAAATTAAAAAAAGAACGAGAAAATTAAAGATTAAGTGATTATCCGCAAATAATTTGTCCGCAAATATTGTCCGCAATTTAAAAAAAAGTTGCGGACAAATTATTAAAAATATAAGAAAAAAGTGCCCTTCTAATAGAAATGCACTTGTAGTAGAAAGGTACTTTCTATTAGAAAGGTACTCTTTAAAAGAATGTACTAGACAAGAAGAGAAACGGTCACTTATTCTCATAGGGAATGAAATTTTTTTTTCACCAATCAAAATTAATCTTTTTTTACAGATAATGAGCGATTTAATCAGCAATATAGCCACACAAAATTATTGTCATCTCAATATGAATAAACCAAAATCCCATATTTGGCGTTTTATTTTCGAACATTACAATTCGGATAGTACTTGGTCTTTAAATCCTTTCTTCCCCTTCAAAGCCAGTACTCACGGGAATGAATTAAACTATATTTTTGGAATTAATTTTTTTGTTACTCCATGGAGAAGGACAGAAGCTGACAAAACTGTTAAGAAGTTGACCACAAAGTAAAGAAAAAAGAAAATAATTTTTTTGGTTTTATAGGGAAGGGACAGTGTCCCTTTCTGATTTTATAAAGTTGACTAAAACTGCCATTCGGTCAGACAGTATTTGGTAACTTCCCAACTTTCTCCCTTCCCTTTATTTAGAAACCTTTTTTAACTAAGGATAATCTAAGGCTATAAGATTCTAGGAATCTTAGCTTCAAGGATTGGGGAGGGAAGAGGAGGAATAAGGGGATGGGGTTTAGAAAAGGCTCTCCCAAATCGCTCGGAAACTCTTCCTACTCAAAAAATTTCCTCTGCATAATAGCAAGGAGAGATATTAAGATTTTAGGAAGATTCTCAGTTCATATATAGTGAGCCTTTAAATTTTCAAAAAATTCCTTTTAACACTAAAATATAAACATTTACTTGACAGATACTTTACAAACTTTGCCAAATGGGGCGATCCAAATGAACCTGCCGGATCTTCAGAAATTTACCCTCATTGGGATCCTTTGAGTGAAGATAATATAGAGAAATATTTAAATATTACAAGCGAACCAGAAATGAGAGATGGATTTGATGAAAGTAAAAGATGGGAAAGAATGGGTTATGCTTATAGAGCTTTTGTAGAATAATGAAATTAATTAATTTTTTATTTAATAATTTTGTAGATTTTCTATATTACTGACAATTCTTGATAAATTATTAATTAATTATTTTAATTTTTCTGTTAAAAAATGGGTAAAACTCTAGCAAAATGAACTTTGGAATTAAATAAAATAATTCCGCTTAATTTCCGACTAATTTGGCATAATGTAATTAATATTCTAGAAAATGACTTTTTATCCCATTTAATGAATTTAATTTACTATAAAAGCAGATTATTTCTTCATTTGAGAATTTTTCCTGGAAACATAGGATTTTTCTTTTTGCAGTTTTTTGACTTTAAATTTCTTTTTGTTATTAAATTTAGATTTTATTGATTATTCAAATTTTAAAAATAATTATAATGGGTACTCCAATGTACAATCATCCTGATTTGCAAAAAATAAAAAGTAAAATTTCTCCAGAAAAATTTACTTTTTTCATTTTCTATAGCTTGTCCTCATCGTTGCCTTAAATGCCCTGCTGGTGGACATCCCGATCCGGATGAGAAAATTCCAGATGCCATTCTTACTTGGGAAGTCTCTGATGGCCAGTCGGATGCAGAGGTTTCTCTTGAATATTTTTGTGTTAAATTAATTTTTATTTTTTGTAGCCTGATGTAAAGCAACCACAACAAGAATCGAAAACAAAGCAGAAGAAGAACCGCAAATTCTCCAATTGGCAAAACAAGAGAGAGGAGCCAAATTTGGATCCGGACGCCTTTGACTTTGGCGATGGATTTGCTAATAAGGCGTTCAGAGAGGAATTTCCGGAGAATGAACAGGGTAAATAATCTGTTGAATTAATTTTTGGGAAGGGGTTGTTTAAATGGGCTTTGAGGAATTTGAGCTGCTGGGAGGTAGAAAGAGGAGTCATCTCATTTCCCCTTATTTTTAAGGTACTTCTGACACTAAACAACCAAAAGAGCCAAAAGTTCGTTTCCAAAAAATTCCCAACACTGACGACTTTTCCAAATCAATTACTGAATATGTTGGCCAGGAATTTTTGGATCAATTGAAAGCTAAGGGCCTCATTTAAAGAAGGAAAATAAATAAAAATATTTGATAGCATTATTGCTGTTTTTGATATAATTTTGTGAAATTTCTATTCATTTCTTGTTTTTCTATTTTTTTGGTACGTTCTTGTACTTTTTAAGATTTTTATGTTCAATAATAAATTTTATAAAATTTTAGTTTTTAAGTTTGACGGTACGGGGACGAGTCCTAGGAATCTGGATTTTCGATTGGTCAGTCTTCCCTTTGACCAATTTTCCCCCTAAATCTTCCAATTGTTACTGAAATTTTTAAACTTTCAATTTAAGAAAAAACAAAATATAACAAAAAATAAAATTGAATTTTTAATTAAATCGACTTCCTCTTCCACCCCTTTTTTTAAATTTATTCTTTCCATTTTTTAATTCTTTCCTTTCTTCTCTAGAGTCCTCTTTATCATTAACATTATTTTTTGTGTTAGATTTCTTCCGTCTTCCTTTTGATAATAATCCAACTTTTTTATTAATTACTTTTATTGGCTTCTCTTCTGATTCGTCATCCGCTTCTACCTAAAAAATTAATATTATGGCTATTTTTATTTTTGCGGACAAAATAAAAATTTGCGGACAAATTTTGCGGATTATTTTTATTTTAAGCCAGAATTTTTCGGATCCCGAAAATTCATGTTTTGGGGAATAGTAAGCGGTCTAGGACATTTTATCCTGATTCTAGCCTACCCAAATCTCCCCAAAAATATACTTACATCCTCAGCTCTACCATTATCTTCATCACCATAAGTATAATTCCCAGTCACTTCCCTTTGTCGTTCAATCATTACTTTTTCCATTTTATCTTTGTGTTCAGCAAAATAAGCATCTTTTTCCGAACGGGCACGCATTTTACGAATTGTTTCGTGTTCAATTTGTTTTTCGTGTCGAAGTCTTTTCTTTCTTAAAAAAAATTGAGTTAAATTTACGATAAATTTTTAGAGAAAAATTTTAAAAATGGTTAACAAAAATTTTTTTTTGAAATTTAACAAGGATTTCAAATTTTTTTCGTTTACTGTGAGTACGGATTTGATATTTATTGGTACCATTTTAAAGAGGACTCCCGACTTCCTAATTCGAAGATTTTTGCAGAAAAGTTTGCGTATTAATTTTTGCGGGTTTTTTTTCTGAATAAACTCGTAGCTTTTTAAATATGGCTTTGTATACAAAACTAAATATCCTCCAAGAAGTTACACAGTTTTAAGAAGTCTCGACTCCTCTTAAAAATATTTATAAAATTATGTCCGTAAAACTTATCCGCAGAAAAAAAATTTCAAAAAAGTCAAAGCATCAAAATTTTTTTTCAAAATTAACTAAACCAAAACCATTCTTATTTTAGAAAAAAATAAAGAAAACTTTCAATCCCACAAAAAAAAGTTTTTAAAAAAACCTTGAAAGAGGTGCTTGTTTCCTCAATACTGCAATTTCTTTCACATCCTTCTCAACAAAAGCGTGATACAAAACTTCTCCATCATTAATTCCCGACTCAATTTTTGTTAAACGCAAAGTCATTCTTGGTCCTATTTCAATTAATCCTTTAAAAATATTTTTAAAATCTTTCAAAAAATTTATTAAAAATACTTAATTTTGTTTTCTGCCCAGCTTTTTTCCCTCTTCCACCAATATCTTGTTTTAATTCCAATTCTACTTGTTCCCCTTCAAATTCACTATCGCTGAGTTGTCCAGGCCTGAAAAAACTTTTTTTTGATTTAATAAAAATTTAAAAAATACTTTAACATAAAATCACTAATGTCCTTATATTTTGATAAATCGGGAACTTTATTTTGCAATAATTTTTTTGCTGAGCGACAAACACCTGCTGGAACTGTTTTTATTGAACTAAGAAAATAAAAATTGTTCAAATTAAATTATAAAAAATATTTCACAAACTAATGTCTAAGTTCAAATAAGCCTTCTTCGGGGTCATAATGAAGTAGAAGAGTTCGTCTAATTGTTCCCAATTTGACCTAAAAGGAAAGAATTTTTGATATTTTATTTTATCTCGTGTTGAAATTAATTTCAAAAACTTTTATGAACGTAAAAATAAGGGGAAGTAATTTAATCCAAAAACTAGCACAAATATAGGATATAAGAGCGATTAGTCAGTCAACTCCAGAGCTGCGCCTAAATTTCGATTTTCGACGTTTTTTCATTCGATTTCCGATTTTCGAAAATTTCTGTTTCGACGTAGCTCTGGTCAACTCTAGAAAAAAAAAGTAGGAACAAAGTCCTGAATAACAACAGCTGGTTGGATGTCCAGAAGGTTTAGGTTGCCGTTTAAAGTGAAGGAGCCCTTGATAGAAAAGCAGCAAGCACCCAACACAAATTTATCCTATCATGCTATTTTTACTTATATTTTACAAAAATATTAAAAAAATTCCAGATACCCTATCAACATCAATTTCAGGAAACATATTTTCCACAACAGTTTGTACCAACTGTAAATGTCTTTCATTACTTGAAGCTAATCCTTTCATAACAAGTAAAGGTGCATTTTTAAAAAGTTCTTCATAAATAGGGGGACGTTTTTGAGTTGATAAAACATCATGGGCCAAGCAATATTTCTCCACTAGAAAAATAAAATAGTTTGGCATCCTTTTTACATACACCCAATAATAGGTACATCTCAATTTAAGGTAAATTGTTTAAAATTTGGTTGGCCACTGAATGAGGGAGCTGTCTAATGGAAACGATACCCCAAGAATTTTCCAGCCCCAAAAGTGAACGTAAAATTGAAGTCTTTACCCGGGCTGGGCTAATTTCGCACTTCGCTTATTTTTATATTTCGCCCAGCCCTGCTCTGTAAAAAAATAAAACCTTTAAAGTGCAAAGTTGGTCCTTGTGAATTTTTAATAATTCGAAGGTTTACAGACAACTCCGATCTCGTCAAAATAAGTAAATGTGAGACACCCAAATATTGCGAATTTACAATAAAATCTTTTAAATTGTTTCGTTTTTTGACCTTAAAAATTTTTTTTTTGGAAATTTTAAAAATATAGAAAAGGAAACCTTCAATTCCCCAGAAGTATGTGGACTCATTACTCTTCTCAAATCCCTTTCTAGTTGTCTAACAAAAGGGCCAACTTTCCCAATGTGAATAATAAAAGAATGTGGAGGTCGTCGTTCAGCTGGCTTTTCTTTTAAAGAAACATTTTCACGTAAAATATTTTCCAATTTCCGCTCATCTTCCTTACTTTCACGATTTTCAGACCGTTTTTGCTGAAATTTAAAGATTTTTGAAAGTAATAGAAAAAAGAAAATTAATTTTTAAGTTAATCCTATGCGTTTTTGGATAAATTAAGAGTTTGACAGTTATTTTTAAAAAATTATTTTTGACTTCCGAGAGACTCAAAACCCCGTGCGAAGCGCGGGAATTTGCATAAGCGTCTCGCGGACACTCTACGTGGTATATGTATTTTGTATCATTCCATTCGCCAAAAATTTTAAGTTAATCAGTTTCAACATCCCCGTTAGGAAAACCTTGGTAACATTGATGTTTTATACATAAAACAAAATAAAAGTAAACCCTACAAATTGCTTTGATTTTTTCTTCCCAATTGTTGTAGCACAAATACCAAGCAATCCTCTACGTGAAGCTCTTGCTGTCTTCCCCTAAATTTTTTTTGAAATTTAAAATAAAATCTTTAAAAAATTAACCTTCTTTCTCTTTGTTATTCTCGCCATTTAACTTTATTTTTAAAAATAAATATTATTTTTAATAAAGAAAAAAAAGAATTAAAGGGTTATTTCCTCTCATTTTTTCCATTCCCAATTAAAAACAAAAATTAAAAAATTTATCAATTTATTACTGCACAATGTGTACAAATCTGTCAAAACCCCAAAAAAATTTTTTTAAATCACCCAATCAACCTTTTAAAAAAAATCAAAAAAATTTAACGAATTGTTTGTCCCTTTCCACTAAAAGGCTTTAAATTGTCATTCTCTCCAAACTCGTCATCATGTTCTTTTGCAAGTTTCTCAAGAACTGCTCTACTCTTGTAATCACGACGAACAAAGGTTAATTTACCCGGAACATAATTTTCATCGACAATAATTGGTGTAGCAGCCAAAACATCTTGAATCTGGGTTTTTGATTCAGCTCTCTAAAAATTTTGAAAAATTTAGTGAAATTTTAGGGAAGAGATTTTTTCTAAAAAGAGTCCAATCCGCTCTCGGCAAAAATAAAAATATAAGGAAATTTTATCAAATGTGGATATCGATCATGGATCAAAATTTACGGGTAAAGTTTATTGAACAAAATGCCCGTTGAGCCGAAAATTCAAAAATGAAATTATTCATGTTAAAGATAGGACATATCAAGGCTAGTCCTTCTGCATTTTAAAAAAAGGAAGTCAGAAGAAATAAAAAATAGAAGACATAAGTGGAAGAAAATTTAGCCGAATGCTCGAATTGTTTAAATAGAGAATTATAATGAGGCAGACCTTCACTTCATATTCAAAATCAGATAATTTTATTTAAAGAGAAAACCTGTCTAGAAGTGGAAGGAGCTGTTTGAGCAATTTTTTCGTTTGTCTTCGCAACACGATTCACAAGTTTACGATCATTTTCAGGATTATTGTTTGAAACAGCTTTTCCATCCAAACGATAGCCTGACCCACCAAAAGGTTTCCAGACATCTTTAGCTTCCTCTAAAGGAGTTCCAGCAATCGAATCCCTCTCAAAAATTATTTTCTAATATTAAAAATAATTAAAAATAACCTTAGCTTCTCCTCCCAAAATATTTTCTGTTATAGGAAAAGTTTCTTTTTGTTGTTCCGGTTCAACGTAACCCTCAGCGGCGTCAAATTCAATATTTATATCACATTCAATAATTGTTACGGCATTTTGTGGTTTGAGAGACATTACTTTGAATTCGAATACTTGTTCATTGTACTGTTAAAAAATTTTAGAAGTTTTCAAGAAATTAAAAAAATTACCCGAACAGCAATTATATCCCCTTTTGTGAGACAAGCAAATTTGCGAAGTTCAACCTGCCAAATTAAAAATATTTTTGAGTTTTGGAGAGAATAGATTCCTGTAGTAGAAGAGCTACTCTAATGAAGACTCGATTGAGAAATTTATGTTAAACATTAATAAGATGTGCAGTATGCCCTATTATGGTAATATGTATCATGACGAACCAAAACGAACCATCCTCTACGTCCGGAATCCAAAAACTTTTAATAAATATATGTGGAATCACAAAACGTAGTAGGATCTCGGCGTAGTGGGATTACTGATTACTCACTCCCTAAGATGCAATATTTTCTATTGCCTTTTTCAATATTTTATTTTAAAAAAATAAAATATCGAATAACCTCCAGCATCGCTTTAGGATTCGAAACGTGGTAAAAGTCGGTCGACATTGGTTTGAACTTTGCATAGGTAGCAGCTGGGAGTGATCTAAATTGATTTTTCGATTTTTTTTTGAAATTAAGAACAACCTGTATTCGACTAAAATTAAATCTCCTTCCATAAGACACAATTGATTCATCATCTAATTTTAATAAAAAATTAAATTCAAAACAAAAATTTACCCATGAAGGCAAGTAACATCTTCCCTCTTCCGCTAAAAATTCCAAAACACCAGCATGAGTCGATTTTTGATGTTCAGGATTTATATTAGTCAATTTAAACAGCATCGGCCACTGAATATTTCGACGGACCAAATTATCCAAACAAGAGGTTGGTAAAAGTATCTAAAGGAATAACTCAATAAAATAACAAAATTTAAAAAACCTTTCCTCCATAAGTTATTTCATTAATCTTTTGGGTGTCATAATTTTGAAAAAATGGGGGAGAGAAGCATCTTAGTTGAACAGAAAATGAAGAAGCAGCTTCACCTAGACCCATAAAACGTTCAAATGAAAACATCTAAAAATTGAAAAGATGAAAATTAAATTAGATTTAAATTAACCTTTTCTGTAAAATTTAAATAAAATAAATTTGTTTGGTTGTTGAAAGGAAAAATAAAATTATAATTTTTAATAAAAAATATTTTTTTTAATTTTTCTAATTAATTTATATAATTTTTAAAGACGGAAAGAAAAGCCACGAATTAAAAAAGCCAAAAACAATACTGGGACAAGCAAAAAAGCAGAGTAAATTGCAATCAATGTAAAGCTGGCCAACAACATTTTTTTCTAATTTTTGGACAAAATTATTTAAATTTTTTAATTTTTGGCGAAAATAATTAATTTTTGGCGTTATGTTTTTTATTTTTATAAAAACTTGCAAAACGGGCAATCGAGTTTTTAAAACTTTTGGCTTTGTTTTGTTCTTTTTTCTATCAATAATTGTAAAATTATTACATTTTAGACTGTTTAAAATTATAAAAAAGACGAGAAACTATCGATTTTTCGACAAAACATTTGAAAAAATATTACTCATTTTGTGTTCTCTTTGCTTTAATATTTTTGATTATTCCCGAGAGATTTATTTTTTGTTTTTTTAACAAGTGTGTAAATTCTTGCAGTTTATTTTTTTAGCGTTTTTTACTTTAAAATATCCTAAACTATTTAATTTTCAGAAATATTATTTTGAATAATATGGAAAACGCTATTGAAGCTGTAGAATCTGTTACCTCATCTCGAGAATTTCAGGATTCTATGGCTAAAATTATAGAAGAGAGATTAAATAATAATCATACAGCGTCAAAAGCTGATAGAATTATTGAAGAATGTTCGTTAGCTGCTAATGGTGAAAAAGAATTGGCTGCTTTAATTAAAGAAAAAGCTAATGAGTTTTTCAAAGGTTAGTTTAACATTAAAATTAGTTTTCAAATTAAGATATGGGATAGTCTATGAAATGTTTTTAAAATTTAACCTAAGTTTGCCGGGTGGAGGGTGTTGTTGGGAATTAAAAAATTAACCCGGTGTCATTAACCACCTCCAAACCAGAGCTGTCCGAAATTGAAAAAATTTTCTGCAGCCGCGATCCACAATTTTAATATAAGATCCGCAAACTCAATCCGCAAGTCAAAAAAAACGCAATCCTCAAACGCAATTAGCAACTGCGGACAGCCCTGCTTTAAACATCCAATTCCTTTATAAACCCACTCAGATAAAATTTAAAATTTATTCAGAGGATCAATATGATATTGCTGCTGAATTATACACAAAATGTATTCTTTTGGATTCTTCACTGGCCCTCTATTATGGAAATCGTTCTTTTGCTTATTTAAAGAAAGAGCTTTATGGTTTAGCTTTGTCAGATGCAAATAAGGCAATTGAATTAGATCCAACTTATGTTAAGGTTTCTTTAATGTTATTTTCAGAATTTATTTTTTGCTCTTTTAAAGGCTTATTATAGACGTGCATCAGCCAATATGGCTCTAAGCAAGTTTAATTTGGCTTTAGCAGATTATGATCGAGTTCGAAAAATGAGTCCAACAAATAAAGATGCTCAAAACAAATATCAGGAATGCAATAAAATTGTTAGAAGATTGGCTTTTGAGAAGGCAATTTCGTCTGATCATTCGACTACGAGTGTGGCAGATTCTATTAAATTGGATGATTATGGTTATTTTTTATTTTATTGACTTTTCTTTTTCAAAAAAATCTTTCTTCCCTTTAATTTCCCCCAACTTTTTTTATTTTTAGTAGTGGAAACCACCTATTTTGGTCCTCGTTTGGATGGCGAAATTACTATGGAATTTATGAAAAAATTAATCCAAACATTTAAAGACCAACAAAAATTACACATTAAATATGCTTATAAGGTAAATATTTTTGGTTTTAATTTTTTAAAAATTTTTTTCTAGATTTTATTGTTAGTGCGTGAATATTTAATTAAACTTCCTTCACTTGTAGACATTAAAGTACCTCCAAAACATAAATTTACAATTTGTGGAGATGTAAATTTTGTTTTTGACTTTATTCGAGTAAAATTATTTTTATAGATTCATGGACAATTTTATGATCTTTGCAATATTTTTGAAATTAATGGTCTTCCATCAGAAGAGAATCCTTATCTTTTCAATGGAGATTTTGTTGACAGGTTTGGCGTATTTTTTAGAATGTGCAATTTTTTGAAAAAAA